CTCAATGGTGTAGGCGTTAGTCTTGGATTAAATTTCAAAACCATGGCCAAAGTTGCCTAATCTTCCTCTGCAGCTGACAGCTGTACCCCAAGATAAACCAGGAACAAAGACCCGCCTGGGGCATCTTTAAAGCTGTGAAAGTTATTTCTCCCTAACACCTTGCTTCTGTTTCTCACAGAAGGAGGCTGGAGGAAAAGGGAACACCCTCATAGGTGTAGGGGCCTTCTGTAAGGTGACCAGACAGGTCTGAGCAGCCTTCTGGGCCCCTTGGCAGATAGGAGATAGCAGGGGCCTTCTCACAGGATTCTGTGATGCACTCCATCCTAGGGATGAACCCAGGTCCGCCCTCACCTCCCTTAGATCTTCCTCCTCGGGGGAAGTCCCTCTCAGCCACCTTCGCCAAGCTCTGACCCGTGTCTCCACTCATGGCTATTTACTGCCCACCCCCGACCTATTTATAGCAGGGAGTTTAAACTGCCTACATGACTCAAATTTAAAAACTTGCAGTTTTATGGTTTTCAAATAACAATCCATATTTGGATAGGTTGTTATCACATCGCTCCTGAACTAGGAGTCATAATAAAATGTTGAGAGGTGGATTTTTAAAAAAGGAAGGAGGTGGGTGGAATCTCCTAAAAAAGTGAAGATCGTCACTGTCACCTTCTTTTTGTTTTTCTGAGATGAGGTCTTGCTCTGTTGTACAGGCTGACCTTGAACCCCTGGCTCAAGGAATCCTCCTGCCTCAGCCTCCCCAGGAGCTGGGACTACAGGCAGGTGCCACAGCCCCTGACCCTGTCACCTTCTTTACCCTTCTTTTCCACATCACGTGCTCTCAGAGAAGATCAAAATAAAGGATGAACGTGCGACTCAGCGCATACATAGCCACAAGGAATTTGTGATTATTGTCGATGGTGGTCTTCCTAGAAGAGTGGTTGGCACCCTGCTCGGTTTTCTTTGTTGTATTTATTATTATTTATTTATTTATGGCAGTGGAATGCATTACAATTCTTATTATACATATAGAGCACAATTTTTGTGCCTCTGGTTGTATACAAAGTATATTCACACTAATTCATGTCTTTATACATGTGCTTTGGATAATAATAATCATCACACCTAGAGAGTGCTTTACCTAATTGGTCTTCTTAATTGATCCATGGGTTTATCCAGTGGCATTATTCCTATCAATGATCATTTCCAAATGTCTGCACATAACATAAATGAAACACCAACAAAAAGATAAAAAAAAAAAAAATTAGGGAAGCTGGGCTCTGTAGTACACACCTCTCGTCCCAGCAACTGGGAGTGTGGGCTGAGGCAGGAGGTTCACAATTCAAGTTCTCGGTCACTGCTGACAACATAGCAAGACCTTGTTTCAAAAATAAAAGATAAAAAAAAAAAAAAAAAAAAAAGCTGAGGATGTAGCTTGGTGGTAGAGCATCCCTGGTTCAGTTCCTAGTACAGCAAGATTAAAATAAAATAAATAAATCAAGGAGTGGAAAACACTGGTCCATATAAACTGGTACATGCATGCTGTTTCCTGTTTATCACCCTTCTTGGGATTCAGCCTCCACCTGGCACCCTGTTCTTTCTTGAGTTCCGTAGCTTCAGTAGCTTTTCAGTATTCTTCTCTGACATCCATCCTGAGGCCAAGTGTTTTCTATCCTGCTTGGGAGTCTGCCTTCTTCAGCCATTGCCCTTAAATGAAAGAGCAGGAGGAACCCCTGGTGGATTTGACATTCATTCAACAGTGTTTTGCAGGCACTGGAGTAGGCACCAGGGATGCACTGTGATAAGATGGAGTTGCTGCTCTCATGTGGCTTATAGGCTAGAGGAGCAAAGCTCCCAAGGAGTCGGAGACAACTCCTGAGGGTCTGGAGTGGGAGATTGTAACACTTGCACCACTCGTGGGTGCGACTGGAATCAGTGGAACATGTTAGGCTTGAGGCACCCATGGGAGGAGGGCTGAGTCTGAGCCAGAAGCCTGCGAGCGAGAGCAGGTAGACGGATAGATTCCCCAGGCACCAGTGGCCAGGAAGTGGGCCAGGAACAGTCTGCAGAATTCCAATGACTCCAGGGTCTAAGTGTGGCCTCACATTTCCTTTCATTTAAAGGCACGGAAACAACACGTAGGGATATTGTTGGGATAATCTGTAGAAGAGCAGTAAGCTGATAGGTGAGAAATGCATTTAAATGGCCTGGTTCTGTCCTCTACTAGGGTGAGGTTGGGGAAAGAACTACACTGTGATGATGCCGCAGGGCCAGGAACGCTGGCAAATTGCTGGCGGCTGGCACCGTCCACTCACCAGGACACAGATGGCCACAGCAGAGACTTGCACATTTGAAGATCATTTATTAGACCAGAGTGTGGAAAACGGCCCACGTACTATCAATATTGTTCATCTGTGAATGGGTTATTACACAGCCATTGAAAAACTGAGCAAGTTCTTCATGTACTGATCTGTAAAACATACAGATACGTGCGCGTACGCGTGCACACACACAGACTGTGCTTCCAATTGTGTAAAAAACACACAGGGGACAATATGACATTTGCATTCTAAGCCCACATTGACATGGATATGTGATATCTCTGAAAAGATTTTTAAAAAGAAAAAAAAATCAACTAGTAGCCTTAGTTGCCCCAGGGAACCAAAGGGATGAGCAGGATTGAGGGAGGGGGTTGGCATTCATTGAACTCTTTTATAGCCTAAATTATGTAAAAAAGTAACCAATTTGGGGGGTGCCTCTATTTTTAGAAAAGAAAAAGTGATCAAGAGCTGTAGGAGATGCCCTGTGGATGAGAAGCCCCCAGGTGGAGGGTTAGTGATATGCTTGCCTTGGCCTGTGGTGCTCAGAATCAAACACCACTGGCCATCAGGGCTCAGTCATGCTGCCAAGCTGCTCTTTGTGGTTAAGTCTATGTGATGAGAAGACGGACATTTCTGGGGAAGGTAGCAGGGCTGTAGAGGTGGTAGAAAGGTTTGCTGAGCCCCAGTGCTAGTGTGCAAGAAACCTACAGTTCTCATTGCAACCAGGTAGTCAGGTGTTGTAGACCAAGATTTGGGCTGTACGGTTTTTACCCTTTTATATAACTTTCTTGGAGCTGGGGATGTAGCTCAGTTGGTAGAGTGCTTGCCTTGCATGCACAAGACCCTGGGTTCAATCCCCAGCACCACCAAACAAAAACAAACAAACAAACAAAAAACCCTTTCTTGTTTTCCTCTTAAATTTCATCCTCTTTCTCATAATGATGGATATTGAAGTCTTAAAATGAAGAGGATCTGCAAGCTTGTATTCCAAAACAAGAAGAAAGGTGGACATCCTAGTGCTGATCCTGGGGGGAAGAGAGACTTGGCAATCTAGATAGGTGGTGACAACTGCCAAGAGGCCAGCAGGACAGGGGGAGCCCCTGAGACCTGCCACCGTGAAAAAGGAGAGCTACCAGGAGCCTGCCTGGGCCTGTGAACTGCCCGGGGCTCGGGAGAAAGGGGTTCCTCAAACGCAGTGACAGAGCAGCAGTGCTCAGTCACAGGATTAAACCTGAAATTGTCCCAGGTGAGGGAGGCGAGCCCATTCTTGTTGTCACAGAGAGCTAGGCCACTTCTTCATTCAACAGGCGTTACTTTATCTTCATTGTTACTACAGAGCACAGGGGACACTCCTCTTTATCCTCTTTAGGCTGATCTTAAGATGGAAAAGCTTCGAAAAGCTTCAAATGAGGGAAGATAATTTATCCCCATTTCATCTCCCTTCTATTTGGTTTTAGCCACTTGCTGCTGTGACTCCAGTTTTGTCCCCTCTTTCCCAGAAATACATCACCACACGTGGATGGACCGCCCAAGGGCAGGCAGGTCCCCGCAGTCAGTGAAGGATGAGATTCCAGCTCTGCTCACAGGCAGCCTGCATGCTCCTCAGGAGATGATCACATTCAGAAATGAGCAGCAGTGGCCGAGAGCACAGGGTCAACATCAAGACAGAGGACTGGATAACAATGGCTCCAGGGCTCATGTTGACAGAGGAGTCCTGGAGGATCAAGTTTCTGGGATTTGATGGGCCTCGAAGGACAGGTTAGATAGATGTCAGGGAGGTCTAAAAGCACTTCAGGTGGGACCGTCTGTGTGTCACACCCTTGTGGGATGACAAGGGACCCAGTTAGCTGGAGAAGGCAGAATGAGCAATGTCAATGAGAGTCTAAAGGAGGCTTTCCCCCAGATCCAGAGAAACCCACGCCCTGCAAATGTAGCTGTCAGGGCTTTGGAGAGATGTGCCAAGTGATCCCATATGATCCACAACTGGCCTGCCAGGCGTGGAGGAAGGGGATGGGTCTGGGGAGGCTGTGGGATCTGTGTTCGACACAATCCTCTCTCTGCACAGTTGGAGCCAAGGTAAGGGCAGACTTTAACAAGACTCCACTCTCTCCCTGCAAGCTCAGCTCGTGTTATTCTTTTCTCTCCCTGTCTCCATTCCCTTTCCTGTGCATGGCCAGATGTGGAGAAGAGACCCTCTCTCACTGTGAGTTTTGGTTGGGATCTCAACCTGTAATGCTCCGTTTTAAGGAAGAGGTGCGCATGCGTAGCTGAGGAGGGAGTCTAGAACGTGGGAACCGTGCCCGCGCTCCTGTGGTCTGGGAATCGTCCGTGTTCAGAGCCAGCTGTGACACCTTTTAGCTGGGTGGACTTGGGCTGTCACTGTCACCCGGTCCTTGGTTTCTTTTACTTGTAAAATGAAGGTTCGCTAAGACCTTCCTACCGCCTATGATTTTCTTGAGGTGCAAATGAAATCATGTTAGCGAAAGTACTTTGGAGACTAAAGACTTTACTCGCAGCAGTTCCAGGGGAAGACTACCTGGGCACAGAGGGGAGTGGAATGGGCTGGGGAAGTGCCAGCCAGCCCTATGATTTTATAAAATTATTGTATATCACTACAAGAAGTTTAATTATGAGCTGCCTTTGATGTTTTCATAGCCCTCACTCTAATGACACCGTTTTCCTCCTCAGATGTCCCTGAGTTCCTGCTCCCCTCTGAAAGTTCCAGCGTGGTCCCCTCAAGCGTCAGGGGGATCCCCAGCCCTCGAAGCAGCATCTAAGATTCTCATGCAGCACCTTCAGAGACACCCTGAGCTCCAGTCATTCCTCATCCAGGATCAGAGCCACAGCTGATCTGAAAGTGGGATAGAACTGTTCTAGAAATGACGAGATGCTCTATGTGGCAGCGAGCTGGATTCTCCAGGCTTCCCCATCAGAAGCCCTTCCAGGTTAAGTTCCCCGTTGTAAAAGTGAGTCCTCCAGTGTCCCAGTGAAAACAAATTAAAAGCAAAAATGTTGAAAAATTTACAAACTTAGAAACGTGGTGGTGGCTAATGTGGAATTGGTGAAGGGTCAATTTTGGGTGTGTGAGGCAGGTCCAGAAGGAAATGACAACACACCCCCCAGCTCCTTGGGCAGTTTAATGAGGAGCTATTTATCATGGTGACTTACCTGGCTTGCTAGGGCCCGTGTCCCTTTTCTCTGTGTCTGTGTCCAAATCTCTCTTTGTGTGTGTGGTGCCAGGATTGAACCCAAGACCTCCAATGTGCTCTACCACTGGGCTGCACCCCCACCCCACAAATCAGTTTTGATAAAAACACCAGTCCTGTTGGATTAGGGCCCGTCCTAATGGCCTCACTTAACACTAATTACCTCTTTAGAGGCCCTGTCTCCAAATGTGGTCTCATTTGAAAACACTGGGAGTTAGGACTTTGACATATAAATTTGCAGGGGACACAATTTGGCCCATGACACACATTACAGACAAGGTTCAGAGAAGCAAGAAGGGATGGTGAGACACCCAGGAACTAGCACCAGCAGAAACCTTTAGCATCCAGGCTGCAGAAGCAGATGGGAGACAGTGGAGATCCTGGGACCTAGTCACAACTATAGCCACGAGAAAGGAGTCACCTCCAGAATGTGTGCCATGGGGTAGAGGAAAAGCCACTGTTAAGACCAGGCAGGGAGGGGAGAGGGATAAGACCTGTCCCTTCTCTTACCACACTCCTGACAGAGCTTCCGCCGTTCACCATCTGGAGCAGGAGCAAACACACCTGGGTGCCACTGTCAGATGCCATCCTCCTGAGGCAGAGAGCAGAGCTGCCAGGTGTGCTGGGAGGCTGGGCGATGAGGAGACAACAGACAGTAAGTGGCACAATGGAGGGAAAAAGTACGTTACCAGAGGCAGAATTACAATTAATGTTTGAGAAACTTAAATGGTCTTTAGTTACTGGAAAACAGAAAATGTCACTTTTCTGCAAAAATATTAGTCATACATTTTAAACTAAACCACCTACCCCATAACCATGTCAATGTCCCAGAAGTTACCACTCTAGAAAATATATTGACCCAGGTAAAGCAAAAAAAAAAATAGAAAAACAAATATGTTTGTCAAATTTGTTTGTGATGTTGAATACTTACATTCTTATAGTGTGTACTATAATATATAGACACACACACACACACACACACACATACACGCGTATATATATATATTTTTAATGGTTTAAAACAGTTGCCTGCCTGGCAGGATGACACAGGGCATGATGATTTGAATGTCCAAATGAAAGGTAGGGACCAAAAATGACCAAATTACAATTAATGTGTTTGCACCATCCTGGGTGGCACTAGTGTGTGTCATCCTGCAATTAGCCCTTATGTCCTTGGGCAAAGCAGCTGGCTCTCAGGAAGGGCACCCTCTTCCTGGAGCCTGAGTCCCCCCGGTTGCCCCCGGGAGCCACAAGCAGGTATGGAAGCTGGGGTGGCCTGCATCCTCGCCTGTCTGACCTTGCTTGGCCCAATGCACCCTTTGATTATGTCAAGAGCCAGTCACATTGTGGGCAGATGTTCAAATGGGCCAGACTAGAGTCTACCCTCAGGCCCTTTTGGAATAAAACAGGATCTTCTGCACCAGGGATCTACCAAGAGAAAAAGGGCTCAGCCAGTGCCAGCAGCTGCACTTTGCTTCAGCTGCATTTGAGTTCTCTCTTCCTGTGTCACAGAGCATTCCAGTTTCATTTGCTGCATGGAGAAGTCAGCTATTTTCTTCAAGAATCTGAAGTTTGGGCGGGGATCTTTGTACGGAACTTGACTCCAGTCCACATTCCACTTCCAAGATGGCGGAGGGACAGGTGGGCACTCAGCCAGGCTGAGGGTGGGGCCCGTCTCCCTCCATATGGCCGGGGCCTCAGGGCATGGGGCTAAGCCAGATGGAATCTGAATCACCTCTTGATCTTGGAAGTCTCATAGCGTCACTTCTTTCATCCCTCGTTGGCCAGAGAGACTTGTCCAATTTCAAGCAGAGGTGACAGACTCTGGAAAGTGGCAAGGTTCTGGAAGTACATGTGGGCTGGGAGATATTTTTGCAAATATTTTGGAATAGACTCTGCCTCAGGATGGTTCCTTGTGTGCCCCTTACCTATCTGTACATCCTAACACAGTGGTATGAACTAGAAACCATCAATAAAGATGATATTGCTCTTCATTAATTCAGCAAAACTTTATAGAATACCTACTGTGCTAGGTTTGGGGAATAGAGTTGTCCCTCAGAATGTGAATTCTGACATCAAAATCAACTGATGCTCAAGTCTCTTGTGGACAAATGGTGTGATATCTGCATATAACCTACATATATTTGCATGTAACTTTTTATTTCTTTTGGTGCCGGGAATTGTGTTTAGAGTCTTGTGTGTGCTAAACATGGGCTCAGTAAGCTAGACGCGCCAGCCCCTCCCATATACTTTAAAATGTTTCTAGATGACCTGTAATACCTAACACAATGTAAATGTGTTGTAAATAATATAAGCAGGTATACTATATGACATAAGGAAAAATGACAAGAAAAGGCAGCTTGTACGTGACGAGCATACAGAGATGATCATGGTGGACCTAACTACATAGTATACTTTGGCCCCCGGAAAATTGTCTTTTTCTGATTTTTGTGATCTTTGGTTGGTTGAACTCTAGGATATAGGACTGTGGATAAAGAGGGCCTCGTGTGTAGGTGTGAGAAAAACCTACTCCTGCTTTCAAGGTGCTATTACAGCTAGAGAGCGGACAGCAGCTATGATAATACCATGCTGGCTGCAAGCAGTGTGTACTGCGCCAGCCCCCAGAAGGGACAAGTAAGCCACTCCTCAGGGAGTTACAGAAGTGACATCCAAGCACAGACCTGGGAATAAGTTGTAAATAGGAAGTGAGTTGGAACATTTCAGAGAAGAATAAGATGGAAATATGCAGAGATCCAAGGCGAAACAGGTGACCAACCATCCCGGTTGCCCAGGACTATCCTGGGTTTCACCAAGTCCAGGAAGCCCCTGGGTCGCTGGGAAATAGCCTTGGGCTGGTGAATGGTCTAGGAATGCTGGCATCTACAGAAGCTGGAGTGAGGCCATGGTGGGGTTAGAGAGAGAGAAAAAGCTGGAAAAGTAGCCAAGAGTCCAAGCAGGAAGCCTAGCCATGGTAGAGTGAGGGCTTCATCACAGGCAGCTGAGCAATCAGGGATTTAAAGCCGTAGAGTGACTTGCCAAGACTTGCTTATAGAAAGAGCTGTGGCTCCTGGATAATTAAGAAGAGGGATAATATTATTCAGCTATGAAAGGAGGTGAAATCCTGTCATTTGCAACAACACAGATAGAACTTGGGGACAATACATTAGGTGAAATAAACCAGGTACAGAAACAGAGACAAATACTATATGTTCTCATTCATATGGGGAAACTCAAAAAGTTGATGTCATAGAAAGAGATGGTAGAACAGAGGTCATCACTGGAGGCTGGCAAGAGGTGGGGCAGGGGATGGAGGGAGGTCAGATAACAGGTACCAAAGCACAGTTAAAACCAGGCATGGTGGTGTGCACCTGTAATCTCAATACTCAAGGCAGGAGGGTTGCAAATTTGAGGTCAGTTTGGGCCACACAGCAAGACCCCATTTCAAAAACAAAATAATGCAAGCCAAATATGGTGGTGCATGCTTGTAATCTCAGCAACTCAGGAGACTGAAGCAGGAAAATTGTGAGTTTGAGGCCAGCCTCAGCAATTTAACAAAGCTCTGTCTCAAAATAAAAAAACAAAAAGAGCTAGGGACATAGCTCAGTGGCAGAGCTCCCCTGGGTTCAATCCACCAAAACAAATATCAACAAGTAACGCAGAGTTGGACAGGAGGAATAATTTCTAGTCTTCTACAGTACAGCAGAGTGGCTGTAGTTTACAATAAATCATTTTATACTTTATAAAGAATTAGGAGAAGAGTTTGATGTTTCTCAGAACAAAGAAATGGCAAATGTTTAAGCAGATGGAAATGCTAATTATCCTGATGTGATCATTACACATTGCATAGATATATCAAATTATCACATTGTACCCCATAATTATGTGCAATTTAAAAATAAAATAAAATAATTTTGAAAGAAGAGAGGATGAGAGCAAGCTATGGGAAGGCACAACAGAGAAGAAGCAAAGAAACAAGTTCCCAGGGCCACCCTCCAAGGACAGGGAATGCACAGGGAGTTGTCCAAGCCTAGAAGAGGCCTGGGACAGTCAGACCTGTGGTCCAGACAAGCTGAAAGGGAGCTGAGAGCTGTTCAAGAGCACCTTCTTAACCATCCATTCATTTTACCCTGTCGATCTTTGTCCATCTTCTACTGCAGTTATTTCTGCGTGTATCTTATTCCCTCCTACCCTCTGGATTGAGAATTCTTCAGAGGATCCTAGTCTCACCCACTCCATATTTCCACATTTTCTCTTATGCATTCCGCACATGATTGGCATTTGATGGTAACACTGTCACCAGAATGTCATCAGAGGATGCGAAATGTTCATTTCTCAGCAGCCTCTTCAGTCACTAGCAATAACGGCAGACAGACACTAGAGGGCACTCCTTCCTCTTTTATCTGAGTCCAGGGCCCTGCACCTTTTCTGCCCAGTTAGGTCTCTTACTCCACCATCACTCACGTTGTGGAAAACATATTGAGGAGGGGGTTTGAGGAGTTTTGAATGTGTATAGCAACACCTCAGGCAAAGGCTCATTTATCCAGCTCAGGTCTTTGATTCCATTAGAATTATTCCAACAAATATGAGTTTTTGAAAAACTTCCAGTCTAAAGAAGAAACCCATATTTTAAAAAGTAATCAACCACTTTACATCTATTAGGATGATTATGATCACTAAAAAAAATGAAAGCAAGTTGTCAGGGGTGTGGAGAAATTGCTGGTGGGAAGGTAAATTGGTGCAGCAGTATGGAAAGTAATATGGAGACCCTCAAAATTCATGCTGGGTATAGCTCTGTGGTGGGACACCTGCCTAGCAGGTGCCAGGCCCTGTGTTCCATCTTCAGCACTCACAAAAAAAAAAAAAAAAAAAATTAAACACAGAATTGCCATATGATTCAGAAGTTCCACTTCTGGGTATATGTCCAAAATAACTGAAAGCAGGGATTCAATCAGATGTTTGTCTTTATGTTCATAGCAGTATTATTCTCCATTGCCAAAGGAGGGAAGCAGCTACTATCTATGGATAGACAACGTGGCCTAATACGTACAAGGGAATATTATTCAGCCTGAGAAAGGATGCAGTTCTGACATGCGCTCCCCCATGGGTGAACCTGGGGGATATGACACTAGGTGAACCATGACAGTCACCACAGGACAAAAGCTGTAGGGTTCCACAATGAAGCATGTGCCAGGTTCTGTATTTCATCGCTAAAGTCGTCAAATCCTACAGGCAGGCAGTTCAGTCTGGCTGCCAGGGGGATGCGGAGCCAGGTTCAATAGGTTCAGAGTTTTAGTTTGAAATGAAAGAGTCTGGAGATGGATGGTTGTGGGAGGCTGCCCTGCCCATGAGCTGAGCCCCCTCTCTCAGCCTTGAGTAAGGGAGGTGTTTGATCGGGCATCGCAGGCCATGTGCTATGTGAAGCAGTGGCCTCCACCATCGCTGGGCAAAGAAGTCTGCTCTAGCCTTGGACTTGGGCGTTACCCAATGGGATTGGACAACCCCCTTTGAAACCTCATCCCCTGCCTTATTTGGTGAAGAACATTCCATGGAAACTCCTTTGTGTCTCCCCCCATAAACGTGGAGATTCCGGGTGCCCGCTCTCTTGCCTTCCAGCATGGACGAGACCCTTGAGGTCGCAGAGGAATTCCCACTCTCCATCTGAGAAACTCATGTCTGTGGGTTGCGTGATTTCCTCGCTGTTTTCTTAGTTTAATGTCGCAGCCAGCTCCTCTGACCCAGTTCATCTCATCTTGGCGGGCTGCTGGCGGGAGATGGCGGAGATGGTTGCACAATAGTGTGGATGTACCCGATGCCACTGAACTACGTACTCTAAAATGAAAGAGAAAAAGACACAGGTATGCTTAAGCACCATTTTAGATACAGCCTCAACTTTACCATAGTGTTCTGGGGTGGTGAGGGGCTGCACAGCAGGGTCACTCTGTGTCCCTAAGAGAGGTTGAAGTGGCTTCAGATACAATGGTCCTTCAGATACAATGGTGTACCTTTCTTGTGTTCATTAATATCTGCTCTCCTTAAACCAGGAAGCCTAATCTCAGCCTTCACTTCATGGAAATCGCTCTCAGGAGTTCCTAGGTCCTCCTGTTGGCCCTCTCCAGGGGCCTTTTCTCCATCCTCATCCTACTTGATCTCTCATAGCCTTCAGTGCCGTTGGGTATTCTCTTCTCAGGAGACTGCCTCCATCCTAGTGGCCGCCCGATACTCACGCTCTCCCCAGCTACTCTCCTGTTTTCCTCCCACACACCCCTGACTTCTCCAACCTCACTTGTCACTGTGGACTTTCCCTGGAAAGTGAGTCTGGCTTACTCTACTGACCCTCCTCTGCCTCCGTCTTGGAGGACTAATCAGCCCTGTTTGCTTTAATGGATTATAATGGTGGCTTCCAAGTCTCAGTCTCCAATGCTGACGGTTCCAATGCTGACCAGTCCTCCCTCATTTAATACCACACTTCCTCCCACCCTCATTTATAGGGCATTTCCTCTTTGGATGTTCTGCCAAACAACTCAGCAGCCAGGGATCTTTATTTCATAAACATACACTGGAGAGGCAAGAATCTGGGTACTTCTAGTAAGGCTGCCCCCATCCTGCCTCAAGGTCTGGGGTGGGTTGTATAACTTCTGTGAGTCTCAGTTTCCTTATTTGGGAAGATATAGACTTCACAAAAATACTGTTCATAAGGAATAAGAAGAAATAGCTGTGTATGTGTATGTATAGCTATCATAAATTTAAAAAAGTATTCCTTTGCATCTAGGGGAGATTGGTTCAACGAACCCCTGAGGTTTGTGGATGCTCAAACCCTTTACATAAATAGTGCAGCATTTGCATATATTTGCATGTAAGCTATATACATCCGTTCTGCCTTCTTAGGGTAAGAATATAGCCAAGCTATTGAGTGGTTCCCAGGCCAACAGCTATTTCAAGTGAGAACATACTAGAAATGCAGGCCCTTGGTCACCATCCCAAGCCTAATGAATCTGAAT